AAACTGATTAGATCTGAGTCGAAGCACACCGTGCATTCCTAAACCCGTAATTTACATGATTTTTTAATGCATATCTGATGAAGTGTTTTGTTTCACGAGTATGCCAGTGGTATTGTTTCACGTTGAGTTTTATTCACTGTTTTGATCGTAAATTACGTATCAAAACTACCGTTTACACTTTAATTGAATTTATTTCAGTTAACGTGACATTGTATTTGTGTGTTTTGATCCTGCTTTTGTGTATTTACTGCATCAAAGCATTCTTGGTCGACTGAGGCTTGTTTATTTGATAAGGTTGTGATTTATCTTACATATCTACCTTGCCTATCATTTTGCTTTATTCTAAGATGGTCGGCTCTGTACACAAGTGTGGACAGCCATATTGCTTATTCCCCGTGGAAGAAGGGATGCAATGTGACGATTGTAAGAAGTGGTTTCATAAAATGTGCACCCGCTTAAGCCCTGCTGCTTATAAAAGGTGCTCGAAACCAAATTCTCATTGGCTCTGTATGTTTTGTTACTCAAGTAAGACATTACGCATTCAGGAAGCCATCAGCCTTCTAGCGTTAGCTAAAAGGGTCGAAGTAGGCCGTGCCGGCAACATGGATACTGATAATGAAGATTGTATCAGTGTCGTAAATGCTGCCATGGCAGGTACCAGACACCCAATTCCGCAACATGAAGCAAAAATTTGTACTCCGATACAACCAATGAAAGCCATGCCATTAAGTACTGAGGGACCAGTCGCTTTAGCAGCGACTGAGGACCCGGCTAGAACCACTATCGTCCAGAATAGTTCCAATCTGGATGCTGAGAATAGTGGTAAATGGATTACGCGGAAACGCAAAAGAGACGGAAAAATACCCAAAGAAAGCGCGCGTATAGTCGATAAGTCATTGTTGGACTCACGTCCTGAGCATAGAGCAACTCCGCTCAAGTCCAATTGTAAGGAAATATTTAATACTGTTGTGGATGGAAATAGTCTAACTTCACCAAATGTTGTTGGGAGTAACTCGCTTGACCCACATGACACTGTTATAAAGAAAGCTAATAGCAAGAAGCCGGTAGCTAACCGGCAGGATCTGACATCACGGTCAAAGGCCGTGAACACGACTTTTAAGGCAGTTAAACAGGTGCCTAGTGTAATCATCTGGAACTTGGCAGAATCGAAAGACACCGATCCCGCTAAGAGACATGCCCACGACCTGCAGTTAGTGGGATCTCTCATCAGAAATATACTGCCCGATGAGGTCCCAGGGGTACATATCTCGAAAGTCATCAGACTCGGTAAATATGTTGGAGGAGAAACCCAACAGAGAAGGATCCTTAAATTAGTACTCGGTAATTTTGAGGAAAGGGACGTATTACTAAATAACGCACGCAAAACTCGTGACTCAAACATTCGTATTTGACCTGACTGGCCACTTGAAGATCGGATCATGTGGAAGAATGCCCTAACAGAGTTAAAAACTCGAAAGCTAAACGGTGAAGCGAACCTTACGATTAAGGGTTTTCGGGTAGTCAGGTCTTGGAAGCCAATGCTTCCGAGACCTGTGTGGGTAGAACGTATGTCTCCAAAAACACCTTAAATGTGTGTTATACGAATGCTCGTAGTCTTCGGAATAAGATGTGTGAGCTAAGTTTGATGGTAGACGACTTAAATCCGGATATAATTGTTATCACCAAAACTTGGCTCACTGTAGATATAGACTGTTCTCCAGTCATTTCAGGCTACATCTGTGTCAGAAGTGATAGAGTTAGAAGTCGCAAGCGAGGAGGCATAATATTATATATTAGGGACCACTTCCGCATTAACTCGATCATATCGGAGGTACGTGTGAGGTAGTATGTTGTACAATTAGGTCTAGAAACGGGTTAGTGACGATAGGAGGAATATATCGTAGTCCGTGTTGTCTCGCTGACGACTTTATCCTAAAACACGTCTGTTCTTGGAGTAAAGCAGAATGTTGTCTCATCGTTGGAGACTTCAATGCACCCCATATAAACTGGATAGAGCTCACAGCTCCAGGTGGGGGTTTCGATATCGTCCTTCTGTCATCAATTATTCAATGTGCACTTGTACAATGTATCGTTAAGCCGACGCATATAGACTTGGAACATAATCCGTCATTGATAGACCTTGTCCTCACACACCACTGTGAATATATAGTTGACATTCAACATCTTACCCCACTGGTAAATAGTGACCATGTCGTACTTTCCTTTAAGTTCCGGATACATGGTATAGAATTTGCATCAGCTCCACCCCGTCCTAATATCTGGAGAGCTAATATTCCGGCAATAAGGGACTATGCTATCTCAATTGACTGGTCGGTCGATGCTGATGGATCGATTGATGATGCATGGAATAGGTTTAAGTCTACGTTTGAATCCGTAACTCAACCGTTTATCCCATGGTCAGCTCGTAGGCTATCATATTGCCCTCCATGGATTAATAAGGAAACCCGGAAGCTGTTGAAGCGTAGGAAACACTTCTGGGACTTATTCTTGTCAACAGGTCAGGCATCATTTAAGTGCGAATATAAAAAAATCCGGAATATATGTAAAAAGACCATAGCTAAATCCCGCACGGCTTACGAACGACAGTTGGCATACGATAGCCGTACCTGTCCGAAGCGACTGTTTTCGTACGTTAACAGGCGGACGAAACGTAGTGATGGTATCCCTTCATTACTGTTAAGCGAAAATTCAGCTTTATTGGCTGAATCTGACCTAGCGAAAGCGGAGTTATTTGCTAACTATTTCAGTGAAGTCTACTCTACGTGTAGTGTTACAACTACTTGTCCCGTTGACAGTGAGATACCAGCCATAGGACCTTTACACGTGACAGAGGATATAGTTCCTCCTTTGATAACTAACCTAAAACCTTGTAAGATGCCGGGCCCCGATGGGTTACACCCACGTTTGTTGTCGTCGCTTGCGGACATTATCTCAAGACCGCTCACGATGCTCTTCAACATGTCCCTTTCACAGGCTCAACTACCTAGAGACTGGAAAGACGCCATAGTTAGTCCTATATTTAAATATGGTCAGAGACGGATAGTATCTAACTACCGGCCTGTTAGCCTGACCAGTATAGTAGTTAAGTTACTTGAAAAATTAATTCGGGCTAAGCTACTGAGCCACATAGAATCGTACAATCTGTTAACTCCCGAGCAACATGGGTTTCGTAACAAGCATTCATGCTTCACTAACTTACTCATTGCGAGAGAGGATTGGACAACTGCTCTAGACAACGGCCAGTCTGTCGACGTGATATTTACAGATTTTAGCAAAGCGTTTGATAAGGTTTCACACTTAGGTCTTATGCAAAAGCTCTCGAGCTTTGATATAACAGGTGCTATACAGGAATGGATAGGAAGCTTCTTATGTGACCGCAGACAGAGAGTCAGAGTCAATGGAACTCTATCCGAATGGAAACCAGTCAGAAGTGGTGTAACCCAAGGCACCATCTTAGGCTCTTTACTTTTCCTTCTGTATATTAATGAACTACCTTTATTACTTAAGTCGTCGAAGTTATTGTTTGCGGGTGATGTTAAAATCTGGAGAACAATAAGAAATGAGACTGATCGTTGTTATCTACAAGCAGATTTAGACGAATTAGTTAGGTGGGCTCATGATTGGGGCCTGGAAGTTAATTCCAGGAAGAGCGTGTTCATGCACATCGGGCACGATATTAGTTACCACTATACCATTAATGGTACATCTCTGCCACGCGTTCATGCGCATAAAGACTTAGTAGTAATTATAAGTCACGACTTAAAAACTTATAGGCACTGCAATGCGGTTGCTTCCAAAGGCTATCGCGCGCTATGGTCGCTTCGCAAAGCATTTAAATGCTTTGACGAGGATATGTTTCGAATTTTATATCCCACCTATGTAAGGCCACACTTAGAATACTGTATCCAAGCAGCTAGCCCTTGTCTGATAAAGGATACTAAATCGCTTGAGCGTGTCCAGCGTGTAGGGACAAAATTAGTAAAGGGTCTTTCCAAACTCCCTTACGATGAGCGTTTAAAACGTCTAAATCTTTTCCCCTTATCTTATCGTAGGACGCGAGGTGACCTTATACTGGCATTTCGTATCTTTAATTATGATCTGGGTGTTAATATGTCTTACCTTTTTGCTCCCTCCAGCACTAATAATCTCCGGGGTCACAGCAAGAATGTTTTGAAACCGCGATCTAATAAACTAAAGGTGGGGTCCCGTTTTTCTCATCGAGTGGTCAATGACTGGAACGCTTTACCAGAACAAGTGGTATCAGCACCATCAGTGAACATTTTCAAAAAGAAGCTGGACCTTCACTGGAAGGAAATCTGTAAGGATTAACACAGGTTCATCAACCTACTATCCTTATTACTGAAGACTGAGTATGCCTGAATAAATAAGCGATTTGTTAGACGATTATGGTTGCAGTCAAATTGATGTCGGGTTTCAGCTGCACTGGCATTAGCAGGACACTACTTCTGATCAAAACACAAAGAGTCTGACACATGTACGAATGGTCAACAATAACCATTTGGTTTTCCATCCTAACAATCAAAGGCCGAACAAGTTGGAATGAACTATTTTCATAGAGCGCGCTCACAAAACGAACAATTACTTAAACAAATACAATGTTATAATTATCTCGTAGTGATAAAAAAATTATGTTGTACTTGATTTCATACGACTAAGTCATACCGTTTGTTATTATGATGAGGTGTAAGAAACCAGTGTCTTGACCTACATATTTCCGAAATCAGCTGCGTTAACGTCACAACGGCGTCTTGGTCACAATCAAACTACACATTGTGGACTTTAGTTCCTTTAACTTCTTCGCGAAAAAGTGCTGATATTTTAGACAAAACTAATCTTTGGGTAAGGAAAAGTACTCAAGCTAGGAGTTCGACTGGAATATATGCAGACAGAACCATAGTTTCACTTTACAAACACAGCTGATTTAACTGATCTGAATTTTCACAACCAAAGATTGAAGGATGTCGTCTCCTAGTCCAGGAAAGAAAAGAATGGATACAGATGTTGTCAAATTGTATGTTATTATCAGATAATTAGATAAATCCACATTTAGAATCGAGAGTAAGTACGAGGTTACAATCCTAGGTGGTTTAAACGAGCTTATGGTAAAATTCTTTGGACCTCCAGAAAGTTGTCTATTTTATGCCTAATCTTTACTGCTTAGCTCCATACGAAGGTGGGATTTGGAAGGTTCGTGTTGATCTTCCTGAACGATATCCTTTCAAATCTCCCTCAATTGGTAAGTAAAGATAAGTGCTTATTCGAACTTACAGGATTCATGAACAAAATATTTCACCCGAATATTGATGAAGCGTAAGTTGTTTTACTAGAAAATTGTATTGTCCATCAGATCTGGTACAGTTTGTCTTGATGTCATAAACCAACAATGGTCTGCTCTTTATGGTAATTTAGATCATATTCTGTATTTTAGACTTAACCAATATTTTTGAGTCTTTCTTGCCACAGCTTTTAGCATATCCAAATCCTACAGATCCACTTAACAGCGATGCCGCTTCTTTGTTTATGTTCAAGCCCTCTGAGTATGTCACGAAAGTAAAAGGTAAGTTGTTCTGCACCATGCTTAAAACTCGGTTTTTATTCATGTCTTCTTATCGTGATATAATGTTTTTCCAAGCGCATTGTAGTGGATATGATAAAACGTCTTAAAATCTGTGTATAGGTCGAATGTGTTTGAAATTTTAGTATTTTCAGTAAAGTAGCAACCTTTCACGATTTACCATCCTCCTACTTTTAAGTTACCCATGGGTTAGTCGTATGCACTTCGTTTCCCCAAAATTATACAACCCAACTTCAGATTTAACTATCCGGCAAATATATAGTATATGTTGTGTACATTTGTCTCAAAAGTAGCTTTAATTTGTGATGGAGAAATAGTAGCAAATTTAAAATTCCGAACTGACATTCTCACATGATATTTAATATAAACACGTGATAGGGAAAATGGCTGAAGTTTGTTCACCTGGAGGTACACCTAGTTTTACATATTTTGTATTTTCCATGTCTATAGTTGTTGTAAAACATACTTTGTTCTACTTCAAGACTACACTTTATTTATACTGAGTATTGTGGGTCATTTTGATAAGTGATCGCTCTGCCTACCAATACTTAAAATCTTTTGTGACAAAAGTTATCATCTGCGGAACTATTTTAAACGGCTTAAAAAAATATTCATCCTTTATCCTTTCCTACAATAAACCACACATCGGGTGTTAGGACGTAACAAGGTGTGTGTGCATAAATGACTGAGTGTTTCTATACATTTCTGTTGTATCAGAGTATGTTAAGTACCTTGTTTAACAGTATGTAATAATTTCTTTGAATGATTATTCCGGGATTTCGGCTTAACAATATATCGGTGGGTGAGTTGATGATTTTGCGACGATCAGCTGAATGAATTCATTATATATAGAAAATACAAATCGACCGATATTTTTCAGATGACTGCTTAGCTGTCGTTCTTGTTAACGTATAACGATATGCAGTGTAAAAGCCATTAGAGGACCGTAAGTTATTTCAGTACATCGTAATGTTCATTCCTTTTCGCGGACAAACGTATCGCAGTCCACAAAATCTATAGATTTAGTTTACCATGCTACCTTTTATTAATTAGTCTTGTAAGTTTGTTATGTAAACACTGATACCTACTTAGTTTTTATTGGAAATGACGTGTCTTGGTATGCGTAATGTTAAACTACTGTAGATGCTCTAGCTTTACTTGATCATCCTCCCTCAATGTAGTAGGCAACTCAACCAGTCTTCGGCTGTCTAGACTTTTGTCGTAAAATGCATTTCCTGTCGTCGCCCTCATTTTAGTTTCATTTTCGTGCTGTGGTATGGAATTTAATAACGTAGCCAACACAAATCAAGTCATTGTCTCCCTTCATACCTTGGAAACCAGTTAGAAAAGACACCTAGAATTGTTAGTTGTCAGGGTTAAAATACCATACTTTCATCTACTGAATGTAACTATTGTATGAAAACCCACTTTGTTACAAACTAAATAAAGATAAATTCAATTGAAATGTATTTGTCTCAGTATATTTTGTCTTCTAATAGTAGACTTCATTGTTTTTCAATAAAACGGTACATGGTCTGGACCTTGAAACTAGGGACTTTCTGTATGACAAACCCTAAAATAATTGACATTCCTATCTGTATGGTTCAGTTATATCTGTTTATTTACTGTGTTAGTTTCAAGAGCCGAATAAGGTATTAGTAAACCCAATTAAAGCACTCACGGGAATTTTCAACTTGTTCGGCTGCATAGTGAGGTGTTTCTTGGGTCTATTCTCTGTAGTTCCCACATATAATCTTTGCAAATTATGCTTCACCAATAACTTTCCAAATGACTACGCCAGTTAACACTACTTTTTAGTAAGTATTTGCTATAAATCCCCTTGCAAACAGATTTCTAAAGGATAAGAGTACTATAAATCGAAGACATCGATACAGTTTAGAGTCCTAAAAACGTCTAAAGCAAAATTTTGAAAATAGTGATTAAAGTAATACAGCACGTAAACCACTTTGTGTACTTATTTGCATTCTTTCTCATAGCTTAACCGTCAACGAACTTTCATCACAAAAACCAGAGTTTTTTACTATCTGACAACTTATGGTCCAGAGGAAATATTCTACTATCTATGAAAGAAGTGCCTTGGCTTTCTTTATTCTTGTTCGTCTGATATTGATTGCTGCCTTCTTGTCTTTCCTTTCTTCAATCTTATTAGGTATACCAACAGTGATCCATTCCCTGTGATGGTGCTTTTTGTGGCCCAGAACCTCCTGACATGTTAAAATGATTGTCTTCTTGATACCTTTCCAGTTGCTCTCCATGGTAGTCCCTCTCCATTGAGTAGATCATGAAAGGCCTGGAACCTGTTGCTGAGGTCTATCTTGAATTTGTTGAGTTTGTCAGTATCAGGAAGAAAGGCTGTAATAAACGTTTGTGATGTTGTCTGCCCCGTTGTCCAGTGTTTCTTGCGTTCAGTTTCATCTTGGCGACCATCAAGTGATGATCTGATGCTACATCAGCTCCTCCATCGTCCTCCTGAACTTTATATTGATGCAGATATGGTCGATTTGGTTCTGTGTAGTGTGATCCGTTGAAGTCCATGTGGCTTTGTACATGCGTTTGTGTGGAAATATGGTGCCACCTATGACCAGTTTGTTGAAGGTACATAGGTTTGCAAATCTCTCACCATTTTCGTTCCTTTCTCCCAGTCCATGTTGTCCCATGACGTCTTCGTATCCAGTGTTGTCCATTCCAACCTTGGCATTGAGATCTCCCATAAGAATGGTCAGGTCATTTGTTGGGCACTTCTCGACGATCGACTGCAGCCTATCGTAGAATTGGTCTTCAGCGTCTTCATCGTAGTCGTTGGTAGGCGCATAGCATTGGATGACGTTCATTGGGATGCCCTCTTTCTTTGTTTTGAAGGAGGCTTTGATGATCCTTAGTCCATGAGACTCCCATCCTATTGGTGTATTTTGTGCTCGTTTGGACAGCATCAATGCAACTTCTTGTGTATATGAGGCACTTTCTTTTTCATGACCGGAGTAAATCAGTAGCTCTCCTGAAGCTAGTCTTTGTTGTCTAACCTGCGTCCAATGTGTTTCACTGATTCCAAGCACCTCCATGTTGTATCTTTTCATTTTTGCAGCAACTTGGATGGCTCTTCCGATCTCCCACATTGTACGAACCTTCCGTGTACCCAAACTATTGGTTTCTTTGGTTGTCAGAAGGGGCCTCGTCCTCGTGGCTTTCGAAAGAACTTGGCTTTCACCATGAGGTGTCATAACTCTTTTAAATGAAGACCTTCTGACTCCCAGGGCAGAGTTTAAGTGGTTTGAATAATTTTTTCTGGTTAGCGTTTTTTTGGCGAGTTAGTTTTGAACGAAATGGGGTCGCTAACTTTATACTCATCTTTCCTTCTTCATCCGGGCTTGGGACCGATAGTCACCAAAGAGGGGCTCCAGGCTGAGGTGGGATTAGGATTTACCATGTCTAATCACGTAATTTGTCTTCTTTGACTGTATCATAACTCCATCTTTTTACCATCTCCCATAGTTCTATGTGAACTATGATTCGTCTACCAAGTTCAAAATCTCTTGCTGTCTTTTATAAACTCCTTGAAAACAATTAACTAGCATTGATTTCAATATCTTACTCTTTCATTATGAATGAGTTACCGAAACAAAGTTCGAAAAAGACTAGCATATTACATAAATTTATCATTTAATTTAGTGACATTCATGTAACAGGTGATTTCTCGAGATAGTAGCTTCATCATCTTAAAAATTCTTTCCTGTTAGGAGCACTTAAAAGGTATACGTATTAATCTCTGAGAAACCAAGCATACGTAAATTTACTTTCATAAATAATTATAAGACTAAGAAAGAAGAAAGGGAGTATTATCTATTTTGTGGCAATTCGCTGTATCAGTTCTAGAAGCAACTCGTTAACTATATGATCTTCAATTTTACTAAACATTAAAATAACATACTTAGTCACAAATATACACTAATTGAAGTACTTATACCCATGTGTATATTATGATGTTGGGATTTATATGTCTGATCACTTCATCTTTTATGACGACTGCAGATTGTTAGGTTCCATTAGTTTAGTTTTTCCCAAAAGTTAATCGTAATTTAAAGATCCCCATTGAATATTCAAAAATGAACAATGTTTGAGCAAATAATTGTTTTCAATAACTTCATCATCAGGCTCTACAGTTATAAGTCCATTAGTGAATACTAATACATGCCTCATTTTGGCCTTTGTAAAATATAATAATTATGGACTTATAACTATTGAGCCTGATGATGAAGTTATTGAAAACGATTGTTCGCTCAAATATTGTTCATTTTTAGACGTAATTATTTAATAATCTGTTATTCCAATTAGTTTGTAATTGTTAAGATAGAATTCTTTCTTTTTGTAAACTGATCAATCAGCCTGACCAACTTGAGGTCATCAACCTCTACTTTAGTACTGCATAATCTAAAATGGTTGAAAACAATTCTTTTATAGTGTACTGCTTTTTCAGATGATAGGCACTTTCCGACTTTACCTTTCTCTCTGCGTTTATTCAGGTGTTATGAGTCTCCGCTTTTTTAGGTGACTTTGTGTTGTGATTCTCATCAAATTCATCCGGCTTCGTCATTTTTTTTGACAAAAATATCTAAAACGAAGTAAAGATGACAATATTTGCAGAATACGATCAACTCATTGTATACCATTGCTCTCTCATCAGCCACATACAAGCTAGTGTGTTTAATTATTTTCAGTTATTAACAATTTTAGAAATAAACTGTCAATCATTAACAAATGGGTTGTGTGTAGTGTGAAAGAAATTAGTAATTAAAGTTGTAAAAATGTTCTTTTTGTAATTACTTAAGGCAATGGTTCTAGTGTTAGGATAATTTTATTATGTAACAAAACAAGATCTTGAAAGTTCAGGAGGTCAAAAAGGACATGTGAGTGCAACTCATTAAATTATGATCGCAATCAATCGTATTCTCCAAATATTTTCGTTCTTGCTTTGTTTAAATTTGTGAAGTAAATCAATTGCCTAAAAAGCCTTATTCATTCAATGTCTTGAATTTCCTCCTAAATTCAACGTTTACAACCGTTGATGTATTATTATTTCACAGATAAACAACTCATTCTATCATCCGTGTATGTCAACTTGGTAGTCATAATTAATCATTAAAATATACTTCAGATAGGTTGGTAGTGCTGTAAAGAATTTCTTTCAATAAATGTTAGTTTTCATTGACAATTTTGAAAAAATAAATAACAAGCAAACCAAGTCCTAAAATACTTTCCACTTTACAAAGTACCACTACATAATGAACCAATTTATTACTTAACTCTCGTTCTAAGGTAATTTCGCTTGGTGACGATAAATTTCATCATAAAGAACAGATTCCAACATTTAAATATTTTTTGGTAAATAGTCAAATAGATTGGTTTGAAGATAATCACTATCACGGCTTTAATTTTAAAGTAAAACCGGAATTCAACAATAATTTCGCATAAACTTTTCAGTAACTGTTTCAGACTAATAAGTTGATACTTTAAATGTTTTGTTAATATATTCACTACTCATATGTTATCTATATCAAGTACATAAATTCTGGTATAATAGGGGACCAGAAAATGCGCAACACAAGCGAAGAGATAAAGGGTAGTACAATCAATAAAGAAATGAATTGAAATAAAATTTAACAAGCAGTGTGGTTAGGTGGAAGATATAACTTGTAAAACTTTTTAACTAAAGAGGATCACCTATGTTATGAAAAGTGTAATTAGAAAAACAGTATGTCATAAACTGTTCACATGTTTACTCTCCCCACCCAGTCCCTGCGTTGGAAATAATACGCGATATGGAAGCGACTGGAATGTGTCTTAAAACATGACCAAGCCGTCGAGGTCGGTGTTTCAAGATGATGACACCAATTGAATTATTGTTACTACTCATTTCAATTACTACTGTAACTAGCAATATCATGTCCGAACTCCTTTCCACCTATCACAGCTTGTACAGCTAGGAATTATCAGTAAAACCCTACATAAAAAATGTGCCTTCAAATGGAGTCACTGAACCTGCACTTAGTTAAAGAAGTTACCTTATTGTATAAGGTACGGGATATTCGTAACGATGGAAGTTGTATAAAAATATTTGTTTGCTCTTCGACAATGTTGCTGGTAGCTATTTTCTAATGATTGCCGATAAGTTATCGATCATTATATATATTGATTGACCTAGTTTTAGTTGTACTTTTAGTTTCATTTCATTCTTTTCGTTAAAGTCAATGTTTTTAAGGTTATTAATCGAAAAAAAGGCTTAAATATGGAAACTTTTGACCAGATTCTATTGAGTACATGAAGAGGATGTGTGTTTAAATAAACGATTCATAATAGTGTTTAGTCTGTAGCGAATATGTATATTTTTCAAATCCCTTTTAGTTATAACAGTCATATAAAGAGGGTGACGAATTTCCTTTTATTTCTATTTACCACCAATTCGCGTACTGGTTTATATTTATTTGTTTTGTGTTTTGAACATAAACTTTATTTTCAGGTTCTTGCTACTTATCACTTTCGACTGGAATGTCACGTCAACATAAGCATTTCAGTCCTTCTGAACCAAATGTTGTCCAGGTTTCACAGTCTCATCAAATGATACTTTCGATCTGAGACTCCTTTAATTGTACAAAACTGGTTTAGTAAACTTCCTCATAGATCGTTTCTGTCCTGTCTCGAAATTTAACATATTTTAGAAAATCAAAACACATGAAATGTTCTATGTAGTTAAAATTGGACCATTTAAAATCCAGTTGTAATTCACTACAGTTTGTTTAAATACAATCATATTTCGTTGAAATCATGAACCGATTTACTTTAAGCATCCTTGAAAACCTGGAAGCAATGGGCGGTCGTTTCGTTTTAAAATGGGACGGCCCCACACAGCGGAATCAGACCCAGGGCCCTCGGTCTCATGCAAATGCTTAGCCTCGTGGATGCTCACTGCTGGGTAGTCCCATATTGAGACGAAACGGCTATCCACTCTTTCCAGGTTTTCAGTTGTATCTTAATTGAGGTTAGTTCATGATTCCAATGAAATTCAAGTCTCTACAACATTATACTGACTATCACATTTGCTGGTGTATTTTACTCATGGATTCGCTAGTTTTCATGCATCCATATAAAATCTGGAACATGTATCGTACATTTTCTCAATGAGTTTTATTGTTCATTTCGAATTCAAGGCCACAACTTTCATATGATAAATTGACGTTCAGTTTTCAGTATTTCTTCTTGGCACTCATATTATGTACATTTCATATTTCAAATTATTTCATCTGTTTGCATACAGTTTTTCTCACTCATAAGTTTGAATAAAGTAAGAAAAATGTCCCAATGTTAATAATGAATACCATTATTTCTAGGTTGTAAGGGGTTGAAAAGAATCAAACAATAAATAAATACATTAGTTTTATTTACACGTCAGTGTTCTATGTTTTTCTTATTTTCTTTCTCATATTTTAGAATATGTCCAACGTTTCGCAAGTGAGGAAGCTTTAAAAGCTGAAGAGAATAGAGAAGCTGAGTCTAGTTCCTCAGATGGTGAAAGCTCCATGTCAGACTATACGGATGATATGGCTAGAGATATGGAGCTATGATACTATCTTTTGTAGGAGTGGAAATGCACTAAGATTGGTCTATGCTCGCTACCGCTCTGCTTTCATGCCACAAAATATAATTTCAAAAGTAAAACAATAATTATCATTGATAATATTATTATTGTTACCGCTATCACTTATTATTGTATTGGTAGTTTAAAAGATGACACTTACTGTATCCTCTATTTGTTCCTCTTCGGACCTCACTTAATCTTTGTTATTAATATTACTATTATTATCCTTGTCAATCTTTTTGTGGTTAGTGTTCAGTGTTTGTTGACAACTGATTGATTGATCAGTAAACTAGTGAACAACACCTTCATGGTCTCTTATTCTGCACTGTCGTGTGTATATATATATATATATATATATATATATATAGCGTCGTTTACTGTATACAAGTTTACACTTTTCACGGGTTGAAACAGTATTTCTTTGACCCTTTCATTACTTTTTGCCTTTTCTTTCAACAAGAAACTTCTTAAAATAATAAAGAACCTCCTTTACTCGTTTACAGTACACAAAACTATTTTTGCAATCAAATTAATAAAAAATCACAAAGTTATTGTTATTATCCATACGCATGTTTATGTGTTATGTTGCGATTCTTATGTAATAGTACAATTTCCATATTTAGACAATCACATTAACAGTATATTATATTTTTATTAACGTTACTGGAGATAAGAAGTTTGTGTCTGTTGGAGTGGGATAGATTGAATATTTTCTTTCTTCCCTTTTTCTCTTAATGAATAAAAGACATTAATTGTTTTCACTATTCCAATTCTTCTTCAACATAGATACATTAGTGGAATTGTGTTTAAGCGGCATTTTTACATGTGCACGCGTGTTCCTTTCCATACAAGTTACTTTTTCATTTCCAATCTTTATGATTTCATTGAGTTCCAGTAAATATATATACATATACATTTATGTTGTCTAATTTAGTATTCTAGTGCTCTTTCTGGTCGTTTAGTCTCTATGTAGTTTATGAACGTAGGATTCGATCTTCTATCTATGTGCACAAGAATAGGTCGTGTGTTGTATGTAGAGCACTTCATTATCTTTGATACTAATTACACCACTGAAATTTAGTCTGATTTCTCTTCTGGCAGTTCGCCTTTCTTTTTTGATCATAAAATTATTCTTTGGAGATAAAAATCTTTTCATTTATTATATTGTAAGTGAATTTCATCACAGGTTATTATAAAAATAGATCTATACCTGTCGTGTTTTTCTTTCTCAATTGCTCACATAATAAGTACTTAATTTTAATTTTGTTTGCTTGAATAGAGAAAGAAAAATCCATAGATAGAATCTTATTTCGTATTGAAGTCTTGTGAATGATATTTTCTTCAGTATTTTTAAGAACAAAAGAAATGAAATTGTTAACTGACCAGTTGCGTGTTCTCTCACTCTTCATAAGTGTTCAATTTACATTATTCCAGTTACTTTATAAACTATTTGAGTTTTCGTTTTTTTTAAAAATAACTATTTAACCCTTTATTACATAAGAGCAAATTATTTACGGTAAATACAACAACATGTAAGGGGAAAATAAAATATACTTCAGATTGTATTAAAAA